ACATTCCTTTTGATTGTGAAGTAGTATTCCATTACACAGATGTAGCAGTTTATTCATTTACTAGGTGAAAGACATTTAGGTCATTTCCTAAATAAGAGTGTAAAGTGGTCCCAGAGCTCTCCTCGATTTGGGATTTTGTGGACCAGTGCAATTAAAAATTTTTTTTTAATGAGGGGGAATCAACATATGTTTGTCATACTTTTAATTCTGTACTGTAATTAAGGGCATTGGAAAATACTACCACCTCTTATTTCACAAAAGAAACCTTAATACCAACTATTCAAAGAATAAGTTTGAAATTACAAATAGTCTTTTAAATTGAATAAGCTTTAAATAATATACAAATCTTGTTACATTGGCCTTAGTTTCATCCTATTGCTGATCCTCCACCACTAGCTTCCTTTCTTCTTAAGTCTGTGCGTTAGTGCTTAGAAAGCACTTGCTCAACATTTCTCCTCCTAGATCTGTGTATCCACTGCCTCTCAAACCATCTACTGTTTCCCTTCTTACCACAATCTCTTCTCAATCTGATTCTATCAATTCAATGGTGCACCTACTATAAACTAGACTAGAATAGTGATGAAAATAACAATTGAAAGCCAAACCCAATCTGCACAACAAACCCCCATGACACATGTTTACCTGTATAACAAACATGCACATATACCCCTGGACCTAAGATAAAAATTAAATTAAGAAAATAAAAAATAAAAAGAAAGCCAAACCCTCCTATGTAGGAGCAGCAACAACAAATACAACCTAAGGCAATTGATGGGGAGAAACAAGATGCTGTAGCAACACAGAGGAGGGACATCCAACTAAGAGGCCCCAGGAATCAGGGAAATAACACCTAAGCTGAGCCTTAAAGAATAAGGAGTTTTCCAGACAAAACCATCTGAAGGTGGGGTAGGGTCAGGGTCCAGAAAGAGTTCCAGGCAGAAGGAACGGGGCTTGTAAAGGCCTAAAGGGGAGGCAGACTTTGGTAGGCTTGAGAAATTGAAAGGAAGCCAGTTGGGAGAGTAGGGAGTGAGGAGAGTAGTATGAAACCAGTTTGGAGAGCTAGGTAGGGGCTAAATCATACTACTATGTAGAGAATGGACTGCAGAAAGCCAAAAGGAGAAGTAGGAAAATCAGAAGGGTATTGCTGCATCCTGGTGAGAGATGATGCTAAGGGGAGTGGAAGTGGAAACCAGCAGATGGACCAAACAGCTAAATTTTGGAGGTAGAATGGGAAAGACTTACAGTTCAGGTGCAATGAGGGTCAGAAAGAAAATAATGGAATTAAGGCTAACTCTGAGGTTTCTGGCTTAAACAGTTGGCTTTTTCAAAGAGTGAAGACTAAGGGAGGACTGGTTTCAGTTCAAAGGGAAATCAAGGATACAATTTTGGGCATAGTGGCTCAACCTATAATCCCAGCATTTTGTGGGGCTGAAGCAGAAGGATGACTTGAGCCCAGGAGTCTGAGACTAGCCTGTGCAATATAGTGAGACGCCATCTCTACAAATATATATATATATATATATGATTATCTATATAAATATGATTATATATGATTATATAAATATGATTATCTATATAAATGTGACTATATAAATATGATTATCTATATAAATGTGATCATATATATATTATATATATATATAAAAATTAGCTGGGCATGGTGGCACATGCTGGTAGTCTCAGCTAATTGAAGGCTGAGGCAGGAGGATTGCTTCAGTCCAGGAGTTCAAGGTTACTGTGAGCTGTGATCATGCCACTGCATTCCAATCTAGGCAACAGAGCAAGACCCTGGACATGTTGCATTTGAGACACCTTTCAGCTATCCAAATGGAGATGCCAGTATATAGATGTATGAAGCTCAGATGAGTCTGGGCTGAAAATTATGATTTGGAAGTTGTCAGATGATTGAGGATAACTGAAACAACAGAGGATAAATGAGACTTCCCAGAGTCAGAATGCAGAGTGAGGAACAAGGACTTAGTTCAGGCTCCTGAGAAGACCCCATATGTAAGGGTCTGGCAGAGGTGGGGGAACAAATGAAGAAGTACCCAGAAAGATAAGAGGGAAACCAGGGGAGTGTTGTTATCACACAGGCCAAGAGGAGAAAACATTTCAAGAAGAACCAGATTATCAAGGGCATTGAATGTTGCATAGAGGTCATGGAAATTAATTAAAAAGTGGCCATTGGATTTGGTGACATGTGGTCATTGGTAACTGTGACAAGAACTTCTATTGGTGGAATAGTGAGGGTGAAATGTCTCTAAGCTCCTTCTCCCAGAGTCCTCCCATTCCCGCACCCTCTTCCTTAGAATCTCTCTTATTTCTCCTTCTAGATTCCTCTTTTCATAGCACCATATCCTCCCTCTCCTTTAAGACCTTGCTTTCTACAGAACTCTCTTAGATTTTCTTCCTCAAAGACCCCTTTTCTCTCTCTCGAACCCACCTCTTCCCATACTCTTATTTCCCCCCCTTTGTTCTCTCCCCACTCACTTGTCTCCTGAACTAAATGCTGCTTTTCTTTCCTGTTCTTTCAGCCCCCTCTCCATTACCGCACTCATCTAAGCTCTTTGGATCTCAGCAGGGGTCTTGGCAGAAGGATTGCTAAAGAACCTTCCAGGCTCAATACTGAGGAGTCATAATCTTTGGCATGATTCCACCAGGATCTGACAATGCCGACCTGAAGGAAACACAGTGTTAGAACCCAGTTCTTGAATGATTGCCAATCTGGAAACCACATCCTGCCAACACAGTCTCCTCATCCGCCCTGGCACCTGCCTCTAAGATTCTGCCTTTTCCCATTCTCAATTGTACAGTCACTATGAACTGATAAGGTGCCCCTCTACTACAAATTCTAATATTCTGCATTCAATCAGCATTTTCTACTTGTCAAAATGCATTTACATTCATTCACCCAGCCTTGGGAATTCGGCTGGGTGAAGCCTGGAAAAAGAAAATGGAGAGACTTGCCTGAGGTCACATAGTTGGTTAGAGGATTAGCCTGGTATCCCTCCCACCCCTTCAGCCTTGCTTGTTTTCATGCTCAAAGACTCCCCAGGCCTGAGCTCAGGCATGGCTGCCCTTTTACCCTGTCCCAGCCTGCCAAGAGAGAGCACCCTGGAGAGGCCCTTGCTCAGGAACACTGCCAGGGGATCAGTGCCCCATTTGTACCTGCAAGATAGGGATGGGCCACCTTGGGAAGGAGGACAAATTTTGGTTTGCTTCACTGAGATCACCATAGGCAACAAATCCAACTGTTTGCTTTGATGATGACTTGAAAAAGAGAGTCAAGCATAATGATTACAAGGCAAGCTCTAGAGGTGGCCACGTTTGGTATCCAGGCCTTGCTCTGCTCTGTACTAGCTCAGTGAGACTATGGATAGGAAACGCCTCAGCACAGTGCCTGGTACCTAAAAAGTGTTCAATGAACAGTGGCCACTAACCTTATCATTCATACATGGGAATCCTTGGGAGGGAGTTAGCGTGGTACACTGCAAACTTTGCCAAGTTAGACATCTGCAGACCTAGATTCCAGGTCTAACTATTACTGTTCAACTTGGAATGTTGGACAACTCTTTTCGTCTCATTGGGCCTAGGTTACTAGGAAATAGTAATGGCCGTCCTACTTTGTAATATGTTGTATTGATCTTTAATGCATGCACACTCTTTCACCTAGCAATTCTATTCCCAAGACTTTGTCAGTATTATGCGCAAAGATGCTAAGTTATAGTAGTCAAAAATGAAAGTAACAAAATGCCTAGTAGTTAATGATTAAATAAATCATATTTTATATGATAGAATGCAGTGCAGCCATGACAGAATGATGTAGTTCTGTGTTTTAATTGACATGGAAATAGGCCCATGATACATTATTTACAAATGATGGAAGGTTACATAAATTGTAGGTGTAATGTGATTCAATTTTATAAAACAAATCCTATTAATATCTTCTACAATACATAAAAATGTTAGCAATGATTATGTCTGGCTAGTGGCATGAGGACCTCTATTTTCTTCTTTATAGTTCATTGTCTGAATTCCTTTCAATAGCATCTAGTATTTTTCTATTTAGAAAAAACAAGAAAGCTTTTTTTTTTTTTTTTTTTTTTGGCTTTGGGAGAGGAAACCCAGTCACTGCACTCTACTCCACAGCACATTTTGTTTTTGTTGTTTTTTGTTTGTTTTTTGAGACGGAGTCTCACTCTGTCACTCAGGTTGGGGCATGCAGTGGCACGATCTTGGCTCACTGCAACCTCCGAGTCCCAGCTTCAAGCAATTATCCTGCCTCAGCCTCCTGAGTAGCTGGCACTACAGGTGTGCACCACCACACCCAGCTAATTTTTGTATTTTTAGTAGAGAAAGGGCTTCACCGTGTTGGCCAGGCTGTTCTCGAACTCTTAACCTCAGATGATCCACCCACCTCAGTCTCCCAAACTGCTGGGATTACAGGAGTAAGCCACTGCACCTGGCCTCCACAGCACTTTTGAGGGGCTTAAATGGCATATTGCATGGCACTGCCAAGTGCTGTTAAAAGGGGAGCCCTGCCCTTATGCTGGCCTCCTCAGTTCTACCTTGGGGGACCTGCTGTTTGAACTCAAAGTCTGAACCTACAGTACCCATGTTTGACCTTGAGCCTTGGGATCAACCTGAGGGGTGGGGTAGGGCTGAGGACTTGCCAGAGAATCAAGCTGAGTAGCAAAGTCTGTGGGGCTGCAGGCCCCGCAGGGCTGCTTGGGCACTGGCTCACCAGAGCTGTGTTTATGCGGCTTACTCCCTGCTGGGCTTCAGGGCAGCTAGCCAGGGACACCTAATTGGAAAGACAGAGCCCCCTCCTCTCACCACCCTCAAAGCTGGAATGTTCTGAATTCCTCCTTGGGCCAAATCCCCCTCCCCACAAGGCCTCTCCTGGGTTCACAGAGGTCACCACACAAAAGCCCAGCTGGAGTGGAGTTTTTGACAGGAAAAAAAATACACACAAAACCCACCAAACCTTTTTTTTTTTTAAAGTACCTCAATCTTTCCCAGCCTCCAGGGGTTTAATTCTGATCTGTAATAAGTCTCTGACCCACAGCTCAGATTTGCAGAAGGATTTTGCAAAGCTGTGGTTAATGATTAGAAATCCTTTATCACCTCAGCCCGTGGTCCTTTGCACTTCGCTCCCCTCCCTCAGGATCCCTTTCTCCCTCTCCAGGGGCATCGCCCCCTCCAAGGCTCTGCAAAGAACTGCCCTGTAAGTATCTCCATCCTGATATGGTTGCTGCCTTTTAAATTCACTAAGGTGGGCACTCTTCCTTCCTAGTCACTATCCATTCACCCCATGGTGGAGTCAGGCTGGGCCACCTTGCGTTTCTGAGTGAAGGGTATGGGAGGTGAAATTCCGGTGGCATTGGGGTGATTGTATTTGTTTCCTCAAAGCTATCACAAAGGTTCTAGTCTTCAAAACTTGAGGACCAGGGCAAGCACTCTCCAAATCAGATATTTTCTGGTTTGGGGGTGTTAAAAGGACTGGGATAAAAATTGGAGGGAGGGAGCCACAGTTTACCTCTCTGCCTAAGTGTAGGGGGCTGAGAAGGGGCACTCCCTTACAGCCAGCTCCAGTGCCCTCCTTGGCACGAAGACTTAGGGAGGTAACAGAAGGTGGGTTCCTGAGTGAGGTCATAAAGTTTCCCCCTGAAGCCTTTCAATGACTCTCCCCAACTCATCTGCAAGTCTGTCATTAAAAATTCCTTCTTTGGACTGAGGCATTACTCTAAGTGCCCTCTTTGAAAATGAAGTTGGAACCAAAACATTCACAGCACTTCTGGCTAGGGAGATCATAGGTTATTTTTGTTTTCTAAATTCTGCCTTTCTGTGTTTTCCAGTGTTCTAAAGTGAGAATGCTTTTCTTTGATGATCAGGAGAAAAATGAACTTCTTTTTCAAACAATTTAGAAAATCTCTCAATCCAGATGCAATTCTCTCAACTGCTAACAATCAATTGATGCAGAAGGAAAGATGAACTGCTCTAAGGACAAACTTTCGAGAAAGTAGGGCCTCAAGAGAATGGCTTTGCCACCTGCTTGTGCCCTTGGCAGCTGGGAGTGAGGTTAAGAGAAGGGGGCAAGTGTCTCAGATTCTTATGAGGGGCAGTGAGATCAAGGGATGGAGAAATGAGGCTGACTGACAGAAAAGGGCTGTGGTGGTCACCATCACCCCCAGAAGGCCACATCAGTTCCTTCCTTGAGCCTGGGAGCCCCTAGTGTCCTGTCCCGTGTAGTCTTAGGAGGGTACTGCCAAGAAAGAGTACCATGCACAAGACTCTTGGAGCAAGAGATGGGGAGAATAGCAGGGAAAGTACCCAGGTGAGAAGGGGTTAAGTCAGGAGCTGTGGTCAGTCTTGACCCTCCTAATCCTCTCCTGCAGCTCCAATCTCCCCACTAGGGAAGATTAGGTAAGGATCCTAAGTGAAATTTTCTTGCCCAGTCCTTGGGCCATGGAGTATGTTGGCCACATACCCAGAAGACAGATTCAGTTGGCAAGGCCTGGAGTTCTCTGTACCTCCAGAGCAGCCAGCATTTGGCTTCTAGGAGAATCCCTCAAAGAGAGGTTTCCATTAAAGCTGCCTGCTTCTAATAACAGCTCTTCAGTCTTCCATATTTGTCAAAGTAGCTTCCTGTCCCCATGGCGTTATTTGAGACTCAAAATCTTGGAGATGGCAAACTAGGGCCTAGATAAGCTATGGAACTTCCTCAACAGGTTCCAGGACTGACACAAGAAGAAGCTAGATCTTTTGATTCTAACTCTAGGACCCTTTAAACCATGTCTGCCTTCACCTCTACTGCGCATCAGACAAACAAAAACCTGGCTGAATCCAGCCTGACTCACCACCCAACCACTTGCCATTTAACTGGTCTTCCTAACCCTGGCAGAAAGCTGAACCACCCCCCACCCCCCGCCACGGGGCCATTTCTAACACTTGAATAAGCTCCAATAATTTGTTCTTCATCCTATTCGGCTATGCTGCTATGCCAAGTCAGACTCTAGAGATTCCAAGCCTCAATAATGGCATTTTCTTGACTCTTCCTTCTCCCTCATCCCAAAATACTTGCCTACTTACTACTACTTATGACAGGCTCTGGGTAGAGGCTTTCCTCTTGGGGACACTGTTGATTTCCTTGGGAAACTCAAGCTTGGCTATTCTGCTGCCATCCCAGGAAGGCTGAAGCAGGAGCTGCTCCTCTGCCAAGCAGTAGGTCTTCCCCTTGAAAACCTCAAGATATCTCACCAACTCTCACTAAAATCTCAGATACAAACAGGCAGAAGAAAGGAAAAGTATTGAACCCAGCCTGGGTAAGCAGCAGGGATGGCCCAAAGACGGTTTCAAGGCAAGGATGAATCCTGAAGGATGACTTGCAATTATCCAAGCAAATGGTGGATGGTAGAAATGCATGCTTAAGGGCTTGGAGACAGACAGAAAGGCAAAGTCAGAAAAATTCAAGTGCTTAGGTTTGGCTGGATCATATGTGTATGTATAGGAGCATAAAGCATGAGGTTGAAGGTTAATGGTGTGAGATGAGGCTGTGAAGAAAAGCAGGGGTGAAATAATGGAGGGCTTTCTTTGTTTCCTGGGCTAGCAAAGTTTGAACTTCATTCTGAAACACTTAAGAGCACCTGAAGATTTTTAAGCTTGGCAAAGGGTGACAAGACAGGCACAGTTTGATTTCAACTTTACAAAGATCTTTGACTACTGGATGGGTAACTCATTATTGCTGGATTGGGGTAGAAGTGTAATTAGAGAGACCAATTTGAGGTGTCTATGAGATTTCCTAATGAACAAGAAATGATGGTTGCATAATTTGAACTATGGTTTGGGCAGTGGCTACAGAAAGAAGTAGATGGAATCACGATCTATTTTTGAAGGCAGACCTGATGGTACATTATTATTAATTTTATGTCGACAAGAGGTGAAAAGCAAGGATGACTGGCTTGCATTATTAACTTTGGGGTGATGGCCCCACTGAGGTAAGAAACACTCCATGAGAAGCATTTTAAGGATGGGGAGAGAAAAGGGAAGATGAGTCCAGCTTTGCAGATGTTGAATTTGAGGCCATTAAAACATTCAGGTAGGGCAAATCCAAGTACTGTTAACCACACAAATCTTGAGTTCAGGATAGAACTCTGTGGCAGAGGTATGAATTCAAGAGTCACTGATAGGAGACAGAGTGGATGAGATCACCCATGGAGAATGCAAAGAATAGGAAGAGCCATCTACAAGTCTAGATGAAACCCTGAGGGGGCTAGAGGGACAGAGATGGATAGTTAGACTTTAAGAGTGAGCAGAAGAAGAGGAACTTACAAAGGAAAACTAGAAGAATCATTTTGAGAAGTAGGTAAAATGGAGTGGTGCTACAGAAAACAAGGGAGAAGATAGTTTTATGAAGGAGAGAGACAACGTGAAATGACAGAGATATGATCACTGAATTTTGGAACAAGAAAAGAGTTGACAGCTTTGGTGAGAATATTTTCAGTGGAGGGCTAATGGCAGAAGCCAGACTGCAGAGGGCAGAGGAGTGAGTGGGAGGGTGAAGAAATGGAGGCATCAATAATGAATGGCTTAAGGATCTTGGCTGCAAAGAGAATGATCAAGATAGAAGTAATAATTGCACAAGGAGGAGGTAGGGTAGGGAGCTCAAAAAGTAGAAGTAAATATTTGAAGTAGTCATCAGGAGGGTGTTTACCAGGAGAAGCAGAGGATTTCCAAGCAGCATTGAAGGCCTCAATGAGATGCACAGTCATGATCAGGACAGGTACAATTGTGCCAGGGTCAGCAATAAGAAAGCCAATGACAAAAATGACTTGCTTTCTTGACACCGCAGATGAGTGACAAAGGTGAGATTCAAACTATGTCTCCCTCTCGACTCATCATTTATCGGCTCTTACTCTGCATTGCTTTGCATGAACACTGGCATTGGTGTTTCCAATGCTGATTAATCGTGCTGACTATCAATCATGTGTCCAATGCTGTGGAAGCATGATAGGCATTTAATATATATTTTTTCACCCTCAAATTGTTTAGAATTTGGTTGAAGAGACAAAATATTCCACAAATGCATATATATATATATATATATATATATATATACACATTATATATAATGTGAATATATAGAAGTTATATAGAAATAGCTTCACTATATATATATAATGAAAGACATAAAGACAGTGAAGCTCTGCTCTCTGTCTTTCTCTCTCCCTTTGCCTCTTTCTTCATCTGATCCCCCATCCCTCTCTCAATCGTCTTTTCCCACATTGGGCAGCACTTCAATGACCCTTACACTGAGGCGTTATTGACTCATTTGGAAAGTCCCCATATTGTAGCCATATGGAGCCCCTCAAACCTCTTTACCAACTTCATTCATTTATTCAGAAGATAGCTTTTGGGCTGGATGTGGTGGTTCATGCCTGTAATCCCATCACTTTGGGAGGCCGAGGTGGGCAGACCATGAAGTCAGGAGATCAAGACCATCCTGGCTAACACAGTGAAACCCTGTTTCTACTAAAAATGCAAAAAAATTAGCCAAGCATGGTGACACACGCCTAACAAAAGTTAGCCAGGCATGGTGGTGAATGCCTGTAATCCCAGCTACTCAGGAGACTGAAGCAGGAGAATCACTTGAACCCATGAGGCAGAGGTTGCCATGCCACTGCACTCCAGCCTGGGTGACAGAGTGAGATTCCATTGAAGAAGAAGAAGAAAGAAAAAAGAAGAAGGAGAAGGAGAGACGGAGGGAGGAAGGGAGGGAAGGAAGAAAGAAAGAAAGAAAGAAGGAAGAAGGAAGAAGGAGAAGAAGAAGAGGAAGAAGAAAATTTTTGAATTGCTGCTCTGGGTAAAGCAGTGTGTAAGGCACATGAGATACAGAGATAAATAAGATGCAGTCTTGCACTCAAGTAGCTCACAGGCTAATAGGGAAGGATAGGGTTTAAACAGGAAATTGCAACATAATGCAAAATGTACTATTTTGACTCAGTTTCTTCATCTGTACAATAAGGATTATTAGTGCCTACCATTAAAAAAAAAAAAACAAACTTGCGATGATTAAGTAAGTTAGCATGTATAAAGTGCTTATAATGGTTCCATAAGAAACAGTACACGTGTTGCCATTATTATTATTATTATTATTACTATGATGGAAGTAAACACAAGATACTGTAAGAATAGACAGGAGGGTTACCTGACCCAAGCTACAGTAAGAGACATCTGTGCTGAATCCTGAAAGATGAGAAGGCACTAAACAAAGGAAGAAGAATACGTGGAACTCTGCATGGAACATTCTGTTCTATTTCTATTTGGGAGCAAAAGACCACATGGCATGATTGAAGAACTAGAAGTAATTTAGTTCCACAACAGTATAGACTATGAGGATAGAAATGGCAAGAGATGAAGCTTGAGAGGTCATGGAATACAAGCAAGTTTGGACTTCACCCTTTAGAAATAGGGAGCCGCTGGAATGTTTTATGTAGAATAGTGACTTGATCAGATTAATGTATTGAAAGATCACCTTGGCAATGATGTGGAGAATGAATTGGGAGAAAGACCATTTACAAAGCTGTTGTTATAGTCCAGGTGAAAGAGAATGATGAGGCCAAGCACAGTGGCTCACTCCTGTAATCCCAGCACTTTGGGAGGCCAAAGCAGGCAGATCACTTGTGGTCAGGAGTTTGAGATCAGCCTGGCCAAACATGGTGAAACCCTGTCTCTACTAAAAATACAGAATTAGCTGGATATGGTGGCGCATGCTTGTGGCTCCAGCTACTCAGGAGGCTGAAGTACGAGAATTGCTTGAGCCTGGGAGGTGGAACTTGCAGTGAGCCAAGATCCTGCCACTGCACTCCAGACCGGGCGACAAGAGCAAAACTCTGTCCAAAAAAAAAAAAAAGGATATAATGGTGTAACTCTGAACTAGGGAAGTAGCAGTGGAGATGGGGAGAGAGGAACCATGGATTTGAGGTATATGTATAAGGCAGAACTGGTAGGACATAGGGACTAAAGGATGCAGGAGATAAATACAATAAAGGTGCCATGGATCACTTTCCAGATCTTCGTCTGGCACAAGGGGATGGATAGACGTATCATTCAGTGGCCACAGGGAACCCAGAGAAGAACTGTTTGGGGAAAGCTGCATGGGGGAGGTGATGACTTCTCTTTCAGACGTGTCAAATTCGAGATGTCTATGAGATTTCCCTGTGGATATTCTGACTAGGTGATTGTTCTGCCAGTCTTGAAGCTCAGAAGGGTCTATACTGGAAATTCAGATTTGGGAGAGCCAGTGGATGGGTAGATTAAGTTATGGGGGCAGATGAGTTTGCTCAAGGACAGAGTGTTAATTGAGAAAAGGATGGGCTTCTGAAGAATATTCACATTTAAGAGATGAGTAGAAAAAAAAGAAACCTTGAAGAAGGCTAAAATGCAATAGCCAGATTGTGGTGGGCTGAAAAATTTGTGGGTTAGGCTGGGCACGGTGGTTCATGCCTGCAATCTTAGCACTTTGGAAGGCTGAGGTAGGCGAATTGCTTACGTGTCCGAATTCAAGACCAGCATGGGCCATATGGCAAAACCCCGTCTCTACAAAATATACACACACACACACAAAATTAGACAGGCGTGGTGCTGTGCACCTGTAGTCCCAGCTACTTGGAGGGCTGAGGCAGGAAGATCACTTGAGCCCAGGAGGTCGAGGCTGCAATGAACCGAGATCACGCCACTGCACTCCAGCCTGGGTGACAAAGTGAGAATCTGTCTCAAAAAGAAAGAAAATTCGTGAGTCAGAGGGTCTTGTAGAGAATGGGGAGGTGTGCCCTTAACCCTTAGTGTCCTAAACCTTGGCAACACTGGGGGATCCCTGAACACTGCAAAATCCTATAAGGCTCTGAGATTCCAAAGCATTGACTCAGATACCTGCCTCATGCAAAGCCCTATATTCTACAGCAGCTTCCCTTTCCTCTGTGGCAGACCCTTGTGCCCCTAACAGATTGCCCAGAGAATTTCAGGGCTCCCTCTCAGTCCTAGAACCCTTGCTCCGGAGTGCTCCCTCATCATCTGAGAGGCTGATGATGGGGGCATCTATTAAGAGACTGGACAGGAAATGTCTGGGCATGTTACACATGCAGAAGGCCTTAGGCTAGGCTACAGAGGGGGATTTGGGCATGGCTGGGAGGATCTGAACTCTCAGACTATGGACAGAAGGCTTTACTGCCTACCCTCATCTGCCCTGGAGAATATTTTCACCATGGGCAGGGGGATTCAGGGCTAGGCCACTAGCCTGGAGATTCAAGATGCCTCTAACAAGCTGGAGTCCAAGGCTACATTCTAGAATCTGTTCCTCCTGATGCAATCTGCAGTTTGGCCTCAGTCTGCAATTGAGGGGCCCTATGGCACTGTTGCTTGGCAACGTATTTAACAGCAGGCCTTGGAGACTAGCATTTGAGTTAACACAGTCACCACAACCACCACTGCCATCATCACCTTCCCGGAAGGCAGCCATCTGTCTGGCTCCTGGCTTTGTCCAGATGCCAACCTAAGGCATGTGCCTACGCAGGAGGTGATGACATTTTGGCTCCACATTCAAACTTTTTTTTTTCCCTTTCTCATGTGTTATTTTTAAAGATAACAAAGGTCAAAAGGCATCCAGCATTTTCTGGTTTCTCATAAGCTTCTGGTCAATATTTAATCTGGTTTATGGATTTTTTTTAGGTCTTCTACATGCCTTCTTGAGCCTGCTTGTGGCCACCCACAGACACTTGTAAGGAGGAGAGAAGTCGACCTGGCAGAGAGACTCTGAAATGAGGGATTAGAGGCATCCAGGAGCAAGAGCTTCAGTCTGAAGACAAGGGAGCAGTCCCTGAAGACGGTTCTACTGTGAGGTCAGCCATGGCCTCTCTTGGCCTCCAACTTGTGGGCTACATCCTAGGCCTTCTGGGGCTTTTGGGCACACTTGTTGCCATGCTGCTCCCCAGCTGGAGAACAAGTTCTTATGTCGGTGCCAGCATTGTGACAGCAGTCGGCTTTTCCAAGGGCCTCTGGATGGAGTGTGCCACACACAGCACAGGCATCACCCAGTGTGACATCTATAGCACACTTCTGGGCTTGCCCGCCGACATCCAGGCTGCCCAGGCCATGATGGTGACATCCAGTGCAATCTCCTCCGTGGCCTGCATTATCTCTGTGGTGGGCATGAGATGCACAGTCTTCTGCCAGGAATCCCAAGCCAAAGACAGAGTGGCAGTAGCAGGTGGAGTCTTTTTCATCCTTGGAGGCCTCCTGGGCTTCATTCCTGTTGCTTGGAATCTTCATGGGATCCTGCGGGACTTCTACTCACCACTGGTGCCTGACAGCATGAAATTTGAGATTGGAGAGGCTCTTTACTTGGGCATTATTTCTTCCCTGTTCTCCCTGATAGCTGGAGTCATCCTCTGCTTTTCCTGCTTATCCCAGAGAAATCGATCCAACTACTACGATGCCTACCAAGCCCAACCTCTTGCCACGAGGAGTTCTCCAAGACCTGGTCAACAACCTCCCAAAGTCAAGAGTGAGTTCAATTCCTACAGCCTGACAGGGTATGTGTGAAGAACCAGGGGCCAGAGATGAGGGGTGGCTGGGTCTGTGAAAAACAGTGGACAGCACCCTGAGAACCACAGGTGAGGGACATTACCACTGGATCGTCAGAAGGTGCTGCTGAGGACAAACTGACTTTGGGCATTGGATTGAGCAAAGGCAGAAATGGGGGCTAGTGTAACAGCATGCAGGATGAATTGCCACAAATGCTCGCCATGCCAACCTTTCTGTTTTCCTCACCTTGCTGCCCCCCTTTCCTGAGTCCCCAACCCTCAACTTGAAACCCCATTCCCCTACTTTGAGCCAGGCTCCAGATGATCCCTTTGCCCTTTGGTTTACCTGGGACTCCATCCCCACACACACTAATCACATCTCACAGACTGACCCTCTACGATCAAAGACCCTCTCTCTGGCTGAGTTGGCTCTTAGGTCATTGCTGGGGACGGGAAGGAGAGGCAGTGGCTTTTGTGGACATTGCTCTAACCTACTTATCAAGCCTCCCTCCAAAGAAACAGACTGGTCCTGAAACCTCCATCCCACTCTTGTTATGACTCCACAGTGTCCAGACTAATTGTGCATGAACTGAAATAAGGCCATCCCACGGTATCCAGGGAACAGAAAGCAGGATATAGGATGGGAGGATGGGAAGGCAGCCTGGGACATTAAAAAAAAAAAAAAAAAAAAAAAAAAAAGCAGAACCCATTTCCCAGGGCACTTTCCAGAATTCCCTCATATTTGGAGGATTGAGTCTGTGGCTTGAGGAAAGCACAAGGAAAGGAAAAAAGATCTGGCGGAAAGCTCAGGTGGCAGCAGACTCTGACTCCACTGAGGAACTGCCTCAGAAGCTGTGATCACAACTTCACTGAAGCCCCTGCCTCCCTCTAGGGCACCTGACCTGGCTTCCTGCCTAAGCCACAAGGCTAAGGGCTATAGACAATGGTTTCCTTAGGAACAGTGAACCAGTTTTTCTAGAGATTGCCCTTGGCTGGGGGATGACGGTGTGGAATCTATGGATCAGTACACACACAGTGTGGAGCAGTGTATCTGCTGAGGAAGACACCATTCCCTGATGCTAGCCAAGGAAGAATAAGAGCCTTGGTGTCTAAGAAGCTGGGTGGATGTGTATGGTGGCTCCAGTGGGTGTTTCTACTGTGCCAGCAAGAGGCAGCCCCCCAGAATATCTTCAGGCATAATGGAAAATCAGCTCAACTGAGATCAGGCCCCCCAGGGTACACCCACGGAGCACTACAGAGCCTCTGAAATACTACAGCACCAGGCGAACCCCTTAAGATTCCCCCACTGTCCATCAGAAGATGTTCCAGAGTGGCTAGAGGGCATCCAAGGGCTCCAGCATGGCATATCCATGCCCACCATGTTCTGTCCATGATCTGAGTGATAGCTGCACTGCTGCCTGGGATTGCAGCTGAGGTGGGAGAGTGGAGAATGGTTCCCAGGAAGACAGTTCCACCTCTAAGGTCTGAAAATGTTCCTTTTCCCCTGGAGTGGGAGTGGGAGGTCATATACCAAAGATTTTTTCCCTCACCAGTCTCAGCATGACCGACTACTGAAAAACTCCAGCACACCTCCTCGAACCCCAGTGTCAGCAGAGAGGGCCCATATGTTGTCTGTAACATGCTTTTCACATGTCCACTTTCTTGCCTATGTTGCAGCTGCTCTCCCAACCTGGAAGGCCTTCTCCCCTTAGCCAAGTCCTACTCAGGCTTGGAGAACTTGCTCAGCATCACCTCCTTCATTGAGCCTGCTCTGATCACTCCATCCCTCTCCTACCCCACCCTCTCCCAACCCTCAAGGTGTAAATTGCTTACTGATGCTTAGCATTCACAATTTTTGATGGATCATTATTTGTGTCTGTGTGTCCGATCTCACACTGTAAACTCTTTGGTGGGTGGGGCTATATCCTAGACCTCTCTGTTTTCCCCAGACTATCTGTACAAGTGGCACACAATAGGTGATCAATAAACACTTGTTGATTGAGTAACTGTCTTATTGATTAAAAGGGGCTCAGAACGGGCAAGTGAAACTGGAGGGATTTTGGCTAAGGGGAGGGGAGGGTGGAAACTGGCATTTCTTTCCACAGGGTAGATAAATAATTCTAGACTTTACTAGAAATAATTAGAAAGCATAACCTCCTCCCCAAGGCAACTCCAACCTCTTAAACTTGCCCAGGGCTCTTTCCTTTTCATAACAATTGTTTTCAGTTATTTGCTAAACGATGATGTATTTATTCCTTTCATACTCTGAACTACTGCCATGAGGAAGATGAAATGGATCTGATCATCTGCATTTGGCAGATAGGGAAACTAAGGCCCACACAAGTAAATAGATTTTCCCAGGGCCAAACAGATGATGTTAGTTCCCTCAGTCTCCTGACTCCCAAACTAGGACCCTGCTGATCCCACACTATTCACAGCCAATATAAGAGCCTTGCAGATGTCCCCAAGCTGCCTGAGGAAATAATTCACAGTGAGCCAGGTAACAAGGAGAGCACACAGGCTCTTCTGGTCACCCATCAGGGCAATCTGGGAAATCACCAAGTGTACTACCTAGAACTGCCCCCTCTTGCCATGCTGGCCAGCCTCGGCCCAGCTAGCTGTCCCACCACGGGGATGCGAGGCTTACACTGAGTAAAACACAATACCTCAGTTCCAATTCCCTTAACTCTGAAGGTGTGGCAGTTTGGGAGGCAAATGATTTGTCCCTGTTCTACCCTCACTAGGAATTAACAAAGCCCCATTCATAAGGGTGTACACTGAGGCAACACTGACAATAATGGGGCCCTACCTGATTCAGCTTAACTATCCCCTGGATCTAGAGGGCTTCAGCACATAGCCTTTTGTATCAGACACTACCCTTGCACCTCTGAAGTGAGCATTCTTTGGTGCAGAGGCTAGAATGTCAGCATCCAAGTCCATTTAGAGGGAATGGCAGCAGGCAGGAATAAGGGGAGGGAGGGCTCTCTAGACAAAAGCTTAACAAGTCATGTCTCTGGTCTGGCACCAAGAACCCCAGAGCCCTTGATTGGGGGCTGGCCACTGGAGGTTGGAAGACAGAGCCACCTTGCTGGCTCTGCTATGCTGAGTGGGCAGCAGTCTGGTATGGGCTCTGATGACCCGCCATCTGGCTGCCAAAGCATTTGCAGATCCACTGATTTCACTGCATTCTCCCATATCCCAGTGAAACCAGTCTTTTACAAGAAACAAAATGGAGGCCCAGAGATGTGAGTAAAATCACTCAAGTCACAGTGTCAGAGTCTGAACGTTAAGTTTAGAAACTTTGCACAGCAATGTGGGCCCAGGATTCTGATCTCAGAAGGTGTATGAGGACATGCTGCTCTTCAAACTCCTGTAGGCTTCGTGTTCCTGTCTGCCACTGGAATATAAGGACCTTTGTTGGACACAGAGCAAAGAGTTTCCCTTTATCTTAGAAGAAGGCTGGCCTGGGTGGGGGGGGGGGGTCCTCCTACCTTTGTTAATCTGGGAAGTTTCAGTGGAAGGAGTTAGAAGTTCATCCTCAACTAGAAAAGCCAGGGAAGACCTAACAAAGAGCAAATGTTTCCTCCAGCTGATTGAACAAGAAAGGCTTTGCTCTAGTTTCCTAGAAATATTCCTGACTCCTGGGTCCAGGGCAAACACTTTTCAGCTAACCCCATTGCCTTCCCCCATAAAGTAATTTAGCCACAGACCTAGGGGATAGTGAAGGCCACCGTGTTTATGCTCCAGCCTCATGGCTCTGACCCTTGCACAAGGAGAGATGTTTCTGCCCTCTCTTTTTCCTCTGATAATAACGTGACTCATATTTTCTCACCCCTTGGAGCCCTAGTGACCCACTGCTATGTGATCATTAGTGGGGGAAGAAGGACTGAAACTGGCTTCTTAGTGGAAAGGCAAGCTCCAACTTTCAGGGAGACCTTTGTGCAGCCATGCAAACAGCCATCTGTCGGCCAGCCCACACTCACTGGACTCTTACTCTGTCAGGAAATGTGCAAAGGGTTTTGAGGGTGATGAGAGTAAACAAGATAAAGTTTGTGCCCTGTAGAAGCTTACAGCTCATCTAGAGGAGATAAGACATGCATACCTAACTGTGGTACAAGGCAAGCATATGGGCTGTCCTGTGAAAGACAGAACAAAAGTGACACAAGATAGGGTTGTCAAGGGCTAAGAAAATAGTCTTATAAGTCTCCTTAAATTCCAGGCTATATGAAATGAGGGCCTGGCACTACATGAGCTTGTAGGGAACAGATGATTGAAATTGCTTCTTTCAACGGAAGGACTCTGGGAAATTGAAGACTCGGGTGGAGAGGCAGTGCTAAGAAGGTAGCAGGGACATGTGTGCAGCTAATCCAGAATCCTTCTGAGTTTGCCTCACAGGACACTTATGTGGCTCTAAAAGAAGGAGTGACTCTGGGGCTCAGGCTTTCCTCTCTCAACTCCTTCCCTTGCACAAGACTCTGGAACTTGCTGGGGGCGGCAGAGGCAGTGCCCATTCAGGTAGCAAGGGGCCTTCTGGCTCTGGACCAGAGAAGAAAGGCAAGTGTGGGAGAAGGGAGACTGCAAGAGTAGAGCCTAGTGCTAAAGGAAGGTGATGAGGCCTTGCAAGGCCAACCGTTCCCTCCTATTCAGCCCTGGGGCCATGGACAGGGAATTCTTTTGTGCCTGCAGCAGCCCACTCTGGGACACAGAGGCCCAGGCCGGGAAGTGTATGTGCTTCTCCTCAGCTGGCTGAAGCCTGGCCTTCACCCAGACTGGTCTCCCTGCCCAAGCGGCTCCCAGCTTTGATGAGAAATTCTGTTATCTCAAGAGGGAAAAGAACCTCAAACAGGAAGTCTAGCAGGTTATCTCTCTCTTCTGCCCTAAGTGGTGGCTCACTATATGCTGCGATGTAATCACTGATAAAATATTAACGGGCTGTCATCAGGCACAGTGATGCAGGGGCTATAATCTGACCACTTCCTCCCACCCACAGCCCACCACTTTCCTGGGAATTGCAGCTCAGGAATTTCTCATTAACTGTCACCTAAAATTCCCTGCTCTGGGCTTCCTCACCCTTGAAGACAAGCAAGAATGTCTTAGGGCTAGATAAAGCAGGAAGACACCATGCAAGGAAGCATCATCCTCAGATCCATTTTAGGAGAGAGCTGCTGCTTTCCTGTCCTCCCTGAAGTCCCATTCCTCTAGAATGACGACCTCACTGCTTCACTGCTTCACAGGTCACTTCCTTGGGGGCTTTGAAGAACTTTCTGTTTCAAAATTCTCATGACCTTGTGGAGATAACACTAAAAACGCTCACATGCTTTAAAAAAGATACTATGGGGGTTAATGGCATGTGAAATGAGATGCCAAATGAGTACGAGTAGTGTGGTGGACAAGCCAGCATTTGAGTGGTAGCTCCTACTCTCCACCAGTGCTTTCAGAGTCTGTGATATTCGACCAAGGGCTGCTCAGAAGAAAGGCCAGTTAAACAAGAACTACAAAGAGAAGATGCTTTTTGCAGCCTCTTCACCTATATTTATGTCTGGAATTGCCCAATGGAACACAAGAGGATGGATCCCCCCACAAAGAGATATCTGATGATACTGTGAAGACCCGACTCCCTTGGCTTAAAGGCACTGAACACCTTGGTTAAAAGGCAAATATATTGGCTGGGAAAAGAAACACATTCAGCCACAGATCAGGCATTAACACCAGCATCTGCACTAGTTTCTCAGTTCAGCCTAAAAGGAGCCAGAAAAGATGAGTTCAGTGGGTTTAAAAAAATAAAACCAAAATTCAGAGACAATGAACACCGGAATTTGAGGGAGTAGGGGACTTCTCTGAGTAACCCATCCTTTACCAAAACGATTCAATAGCTTAAAAATAGAGGCAAGGTGGAAATCAAGGAAAAGACAGACAGGATGAGAAAGGTGGTGCCATCTTCCTGTTGGCAATTCCAGAGGTTAATTTTACTTCGCTGTGTGTAATAATAAACCAGTATGTTCTCAAGTGTCACTTTCTCACTCCCCAAGAGACTTGTCCAACTCAGCACTGTCTAGAGAAGGGGATTCAAAGCAGCCAGTGAGAACACCCATGGGCAGAGGCCAGCAAGTCCAAGACCTCCTGGAGTGTAAGAAGAGGATCCTGATGGCTGTTTGGGTATCAGGAAAGCTGCCAAGTGATATCCGTGAGTGAAAAACCCAGTCAAGGGTAAATGAATTCCATGTTGTTTGGAGGGATATTCATTACATAAGTGAACAATTTCCTCATCATGAGGGCAGTTAAACATTGTGTGGGATTGTGAAACTGTCTTCCTTGGAAATTCCTGTTAGTGTGGGCTCGCTTTAGCATTTTCCTATTAAAAGGAAGAAGACAAGACTAATCATTTTCAAGATAGGCAGTATGGTGTAATAAGCAGTGAGTTTGGCCTCTGGAGTCAGACAAATCTGGGTTTGAATTTTGCCTCTGCACTCTAGTTGGATGGCTTTGGGAAATCCACTTCAATTTTCTACAGCTCAGTTTCCTCATTTTGTAAAATGTGGATGAGAGCTGCCTCTCAGAGTGGTCATGGCACACAGTAGGTGCTAACAAAATGGATAATGAATAAGTAGATTGGTGACCTAAAGGTAGGGTCAAAGACACACCAAAATGTGTGTCTTTGGGGAATGGGGGCAGACAACGAAGTGTATTTTCTGCCATAGATCTGAATCCATGTTATCAAGGGAATGGTCTTTCCCAGGCCAAAACTTCTCAAGATTCTTCACCAAAGCTGAAACACCTTGAAGACCTTGGGTGGGTTTCTACTTGTAAAATGTGGGAAGCCAGGGGAAAGGCAGACCTGAGAAGCTGGAGAGGGAAGGGATAATGGTGGCTTTCATCCAGATCTGTGACCATATGGATTGGAACAGATCCATGATTAATCAGGTCTCACTGCTAAAGAGATCAGTCCAAGGTAACTACACACTGCAGTTAACATCCCAAATTTAGGGACAACTGGAGAGATTTCAACAGCTACTTCATCCTAATTCATAAAGCAGGTTTAGCATAGGACCTCTTGGCAGCATTTCCCAGCCCTTGGTTGATTCTGTTCCCTAATGGTTCACATTGGATAATCCACTCTCTCCACTCTCTGGAACCCTCCTGATATTTCTGTATTCACTCCCCACCCAGTCTTATGACTTTGCTTACTCTTCCCTATACCTGCAAAACCCTCCCCACACATCTTCAGCTTTCCAATCCTGCCAGGTTTCCAGGGCCAATCTGGAAGAACAGACCTGGAACACTTTCCTGAGCCTCTGTCTATAGTCATCTTGCCTGCTCGAGGGCACAATGGACAGATATATGGAAGGTGCTTGGTATGCTGAAAGCACCCAAAACATTTGCACGATTTTATCTAAAATTGGGTTGGGAATTTCTGGTGATTCACATAAAAATTTTGGGCTTAGTGATGGGGGCAAGCAGCAAAACAAATTTCTTCTGGAAGATTTTATTTTCTACTAGAAAATGAATGCCATTTTTGTCTCACTTGGTAACTAAAGCTTTAATATACACAAGACTAAGTCAGCTTTTCTTTCAATTATCTAATTTATTATCCAAACATGTGCTCTAAATTTTGATTCAGAAAGTATTGTTCCTGAACTCTCCCCTTTGCCTAATATAAGTCACGAGTTAAGAGATGTCCTTTTCACAAAGCTAAGTCATTCTTTGGAGGAAATTAAACTTTACTTAGCCTGGGATCACACCCAGCATTCCTGAGTAGACCCCTGTGCTTCACTCCTAATATAGTACTATAGAAAAGGGTTTGAATTCATATATAGAATCTGAAAGACATTCTATCTGGAGACTGCCTCTGGGAATGAAGGGCTTCCAATTAAGCCTCTGTCTCTGAATTGTTAGCCCAGATAATTCGCAATCACTAAACCTGGGTAAGCAAATTTTCCTATTCCCTGGGGCCACAAGGTACCTGGTCTAAGCTTCAACCAGGTGCCCATTAGTTCATCCAAAAAGCACGTAACGACTTCCTTGTGCCCAGAACTTGTTCCCTAGAAATTACTTCTGTCTGTTCTTTGCTTGTGGATAGCTCCTTTCTTCTCTTGATGCAAACTATCACCACTCTTGGAAAAAGTGAACAGATGTCTCCTCAGGATGCTTTCTTCCTCCTTTTAGTTCTCATTCTCAAGATCTGGTCTCTCCAGACATCTCCTGGTTATGTTCTATAGTATTTAAAAATTGCATGCCAGGGACCCTCCTTTTGGTAAGACTGAGAATGTTTGTAGTAAAGAATACCCACATTCCTGTTCTCCTTTGGTAGCCTTTCTATCTAACCATACCAAAGATCAGCTAGAGAGAAACACTAGGCCACTTCAGCTCACACCGATTGCCCCTTATAACCTATAGCACTTATTATCTCAGTCCTTCATTTTCCAAGTTGAATGTCCAGGATTGTCATCTACCTCACTCATTCTGTATTTATCCAACCCCTTCTATGAACAAGGCATTGTTTTAGGCCCCTGGGGGAGATAAAGATATGAACAAAACACAGTTCCCATCATTAACTAATTACCTCCTAGATCCCAGGTACCATGATAAGCTCTAGGATATAGTAGTTGGCAACAACAGGCATAGCCCTTTCCCTCGTGGAACTTACTAGTAAGGGATGCAGATGGACAGCATGTGTGTTGTGTTCACCACTGTATATCACATGGCACACAGTCAGTACCCAATAAATATTTGTTGAGTGAAAATAAATGACCAAATAGATCATGATAAATTGTGAGATGCTATGAATTCAGGAAAACACGAAACAGTGATAGCATAATAGGGCAGATAGAGACAAAAGGCTGCCAGGGAATGCTTGTCTGAGAAAGTGACACACCAAGACCTGAAGGATAGAGACTAGCCAGCTATATGCCAACACTAGAGATGAGAACATTCTAGCGGAGGGAGCAGTATGGGTAAAGTATGCTTGGGGAGAGGGAACAGCAGGGTAAAGTCTCTGAAGTAAGTAAAGCTTGACATGTGCCCATAGGAAGACTACAGTGAGCCAGGGGGAAAGTTGTACATGAAGAGGGGTCGCAAGAGACGAAGTACAAGTAGGCAGGGGCCTTGCAGGATACTGTAATCAGTTTGGATTTTATTCTAAGTGCCAATGAGAAGTCATTTAAAAGTTTCAAGCGGGGGAATCACATGATCTATTACTTATTTTTAAAAAATCATTCGGTCTATAGACAATTGTAGGAACAAGAGTAGAAGCAAGGACTCCAGCTAGGAGTTATAATATCCCATGGGAGATCATGGCAGTTTGGACTAAGGTAGTTGTAGTAAAATTGAGGAGAGTCAAGACATACTTTGGAGGTGGAACTGATAGACTTGTTGACGGGCTGGATGAAGGGAGTGAGAGAAGAGGAAACTTAAGGATGACTTCCAGGTTTTTAGCTTATGCAACTGGATGAGTAGAGGTGCCATTTTCTAAGATGAGGAAAACCTGGAGAAGGCGAACAGCCCCAGGGTGCATCACTGTTTATTTTTAATGAGGCATGTAAGTGTAAATGTCAAGTAGGCACAGGACAAGGATGTTTGTGATAAAAGCCTTATAAATAATACAAAACTTAAATGTTTACAGAGAAATTTTGTGTCTAGCTGGGTTAATCAGAGAAGTTTGCAGAAAAAAAGTTGGCATTGGAGCCAAAGGAAAGATGATGAGGGAAAACATTCCAGGCAAAGGGAATAAAATCGCACAGGTGGAGATGCAAAGACGTGTTCAGAAACTGGAAAATCATTCCGTTTAGATGGAATGTGGCTAGTATCTGGAATGTTACAAGATGACCATAGAAAGGGTGATTGAAGCCAGATCACAAAGGGCTTTGAGCACCATCATAGGGAATTTGTATTGTACTTGGTGAGCAATTGGGAACACTAGCAAGTCTTTGAGCAGAGGTCTGACCTGATGAAGTTGTTAAAAAACAAAATTTGGTAACTCTGAGTAGGGTGGATTGGGGAGGGAGAACAGGAGGCAAGGAAGGCCATTTAAGAATTTATTTAGATAATCAAGAGATGAGGTAATAAGTTATTTAGGTAATAACCTAAATGTTCATCATGGCAATGCAAAGCTAAAGGGCAAATGTGGGAGACATTTCAAAGGAGAACTATGCTTATGTTAACCTAACAGGAAAGCCAGGAGGAAGCATCTGCTTTTTCCTTCTCAATGTCTTTTGCCTCCACACTAGATCATAGCCTCTGGTAAGGCTGGGAGATACTTTGCAATCTTTCCACAGTGGGATTTAACGCTATCAAGGGGATCTCATGTTGGCGTGGCTTCATAGTAAATAGGTAAAAAAGAGGTAGCTCTGGTATTGAAGTGAATGGACTCACACAGATAGCAGTGCTGGAAAAAGCAGTGTGGGGTCAGGACCACAAACCAGGGAATGGGCTGAGAGTAAACACTAGGAAAGATGAGTTCAAATTTCCTACCTTCTTCCCTTTAAAGCCTCACTGCCTACCCACCTTCCTACTCTGCCCCTTGCTCACCCAACAAACACTCACACAGGCAGAGCCTTCAATGCTCTGAATTTTTTTCCTGCAGCAGACTCTCATCCGCACTCTTTTCTGTGTGAAGTCTCACACACTCACAGCCCCCATCTGATGAATAAATCTCCCTGAAAGAATGGCTGAATGTGCTCCTCTTCCCTCAGTGCTATTTACATTTAGACAACTGCGTCCTTGACTGTCATAATCCAAATGTCTAACATGAAAATTCATCATATGGCAAGCTAGAGCTGGGTGAGGTGGAAAGTAAGGGGGCAGGGGATATCTTTAAGTGACGAAGCCAAGATCTGGCCTCCCCTCATTCCCTGCAGTGTCACTGGGGTATCTACGATGGACCCCCTTTCAAAGGAGGGAGGATTAATTTGGAAAAGTGTTCTGAAGTAACTGTGGAGGAGAAACAGAACAAATATCCAAGACATTTCCTCTGAACTAGCTAAACCTTTTGCCACTGCTTGATCCCAACTTCCTTTGATTGTTTCTTCTCTACTTCCTACTTTTTACTGTTGGTATACTTTTATGTGTTCATTGTTCAATGTCTTTTGAAAAATACCCTGAACTCTTTGAAGAGTATGTGCTATATAAACACAATAAAAAAATGAATACAATGTCTCCTTTTACAAGAGAGTAAGTTTTACTATTTCTGTTAGTACACCCCTCACTCAGCACTAGCCTGAAGAGTTCCAAGGGACATCAGATAGATTCCACTCTAAAATACTTCCCCAACTGCCTGAAATTCCATTCATTTGATGATAAATATATTTTTAAATTTGAACCTCGTAGGTTTGCTGTTTTTCAAGAATCCCTTATTAAAATGTGAATACCAAAGCGGGTGAGTGGATCATGACATAATCTTAGTTCCCTTTACAATAACCCACCACTCCTATCAAACACATTTTTCACATTCTGAATTTTTCTATGCCTTTGTTTATGCTGTTCTTCTTCCAGAGGTAATGCTAAATTTAATATAAATTAGAAATATAACATTACCTGATATTTTCACATAATCTCTCATTTGATATTCAAATTCGAGCCTACTTGATCTTTTTAAAAACAATTTATTTTTTTCCAATGTAGGAAGAATAACAAGTTTAATATAGAAAATTTGAAGAAGGCAAGAAGATAGGAAGAAGGAAAATATCAGCCATAGTCCTAACACCTAAAGATCACTCATTGGCAGTGTGGCCATGCTCATTTTTTAAGCCTTAATTTAGGTCCCATTTCTGGCGTGGTGCCTTCCTTGAACTTCCTCCCTCAGATCTTCATTGTCATATCTGTGCCACTCAGTTGTACATATCATACACTTCTGTGTATAATATGATGTATGTCTTACATTTCCAACTAGATTGTTACACCTTTGAAGGCTACAAACATGAGTTATACTTGTTAGCTTACCCGAAAACAGCTGGTACCCAATATCTGCTGATTGATTTAACCTTAGTGAATACAAATAATTTCAGAAAAGATATAAAATAGACCACGTATCCAGGTCATGAAAATTAAAGCTTTCAGGTCACCGACCTTGGTGACTATTGCTTTTCTGTTCCAAGACTTGAAAGCCTATTTAAACTGGCCTCTTTCTCCACACCAAAACTGATAAGAAGCAGACTTATTATGAGCCAGGATTTACACAGAGATTCTCTATATAAGGCATAAAGGTAAGAGAGAGAAAGAGAGAGATGTGGGGGAGGGCGAGAAAAGAGAACAGACAGAAGACAAGAGAAGGGTATACAGTCTGGTGCTCAATCCAGTATGTGATTTGCCTCCAACACCGTGTACAGGATCCCATCCACTTGTTCTGAATCATACCCGATCTCACGAAGCTCCAAGTGAGGGAGGACAGAAGTAAGGAGATAGCTGACGTGGATACGGAGCCGTGTAAGCTTTGCCAAAGCCCTGTATGATGGAGTGAGGGGGCAGGAGAAGAGATGACATGAAGTCATTAACCAACAGAATAAAATGAAGCCCCTTCAAAATGGAGCCACATTTCTCAACAGTTACATTTTCATTAGCTACAAAGAAGAAAGCACAACGCCACCAAGCACAGGGAGACTGGCTGCAGCTTTCTAAGAAGTAATTACTCAATTCTTGGTGGCCTGTGAATTAAGGCTTCTTCCCTTGTCTATGGCCAGTAACTGGGGGTCCTAAGGGATGCTTCCCATTAGCACTCACAAGCTGATAACTAAACCCTAGTAATTAACCTTTCTAGGTCATCTCCCTCTGGGGTCCGGTAGGAGACCTGAGCCTTCTGCAGCATTTCCAGGTGTGTCTCTGTCTCCCTCAGTTTATCTTTCAACTCTTGCTTTTCCTCTTTGGTTCTTTCCAGCTCAGCTTTCAGAATCTGGAATTCAGCTTGGCGATAACCCATGTGTTTCTTGCTCCAGTACAAGCCTTCTGCATCCTGGGTGCTGTAGATCACCAATTCATGTTGGACTTTCTTGAATTCAGACTGCCAGTGATTCCTCTCCTGTTCCAGCTCCTCCACCTGCAGTCCAAGAAACAGAAATTCAATGACCCCACAAAAGAGTGTGCCAAAAACTGTTACTCATATGATCATCCTGTGATTCCACTATACATATTCCTCTACTTACAGACCTCTTCAATACCATAAAATGGGCAGAAAGCCTACTACAGTTACTCTATCTTAAACACACCACAGAACAGTTCAAGGGCATATTTTGTTTAAAAGCCTCAGAATATGAAATCATCAGGGCACCAACGTCCTGGTCCCTTGGTTACAATGATCTGTTATTCCTAGTGGTAAGGTATTACCCTAACCTTTTGCTGGAACAAATTCCTTTCAGCCAAAACACGTTCCAATTTTTCTGTGGTTCTCTTCAATTCTTCCAGCTCTCTCTGGTTCTTCATCTTTGGTGTATTACAACCTTCACTCTCCTCATAGCCTCTTCCTTTCTCCCCAATGGCTGCAGCAGGGATTGCAGCAGAGGCCACAGAATAAGGCCCTGGGTTCCAGGATTCAACTGCTTTTCGTCTCTCGGCAAGCTCCTCTCTGTTAAAAGGGATCAGCTGAATGGGAGCTCCTGAATCTCTAACACCTTTGGCAACACCAACAACAGCTACAAAAGGTCCCTTGTTCACTTCTTCTTTGTTTATGCTCGTGCTACCTCTGTTAGATTCTTCTGCCACCAATCTTGGCATCTGATCTTCTAATTCTTCAGGAAGCAGGGACCCCTGACGTTGGTCTTGGGCCCCTGGATACAGAATTGAAATCTCTCTGTTTTGACCTGTATTCTTGCTTGCTTCTGGGTATTCTGGGAAAAGGTATGGTGGTGTACTTCTCTCAGAACTCGATTTGTCATGGCTGTTCTCTCCTTCTGGGTAGGCAACAGCTGCCTCTACCCTCCTGTAAGGAGCAGGCATGGAATAATCTAGAACAGGTGTTGTCATCTCATTCTGGAGCCTTCTTCGTTTCTCCACTGGTTCCTCACCTACGATCCATTTGTACTTACTGCAAGAAGAGGAAATTAAATTGTAAGCTGTCGCAGTACAGGTTAAGTATGTTCTGATGCTATGGAGCCCCAACTCAAACCTGCCATATTCAAACGGGCTCTAAACATTACCCACAGACAACTTCAGGTCAGGGATACAACTTTACCTGCAATCCTCAACCCTTCACTAGTGCAATTGGTATCAAGGGAGAGGTGAAGTTGAAGATGTGAATAGGCAGCATCTGGATATAATAGGATTAGGCTGACCTTGGTTAAGAATTCTAAAAATAAGATTGCGACCAGTCTGACTTAGAAGTGTCCTAAATATGCAAGTCAAGAAGGAAGACAAAGAAAAAACACATACCCCAAATCTCCTAACACAAGAATGGAATGAAAAGGCCATAAAAAGCTTAGCAGAGTATGCAGAGAATAGTGCCAACTGATTAATTTTACAGTGACGCAAAAGCCTTCTAGTATCAAAGACTTATGTACATTTTTTATATTGCAGCAGAACCACACAATTCTTTCCACAGCCCACTGGATTGTGGCTATTGCCCATTATTCGCTTGTAAAAGTTAATTGAATCACAGGGGCCCTTCTGAAACAAAGAAAGTGAATCAGCCAATTCAAGTCATTTCCCCCTTGTGACAAAGAGCTCCCATACTCAAGCACAAGCAGACAGACACTCCCTGAGTTCTGCAGGAAAGCTCATGATAATGGCCTCAAATCATCTTCCACTTCTGGCTGCTCTATGCCCTAGGAGTTGAAGGAACTAACAAAACAACTGGCACCAGAGAAATGCATAGGCAATTTTTAATCACGCAGCAGGATGGGAATCCCATTTTTATCCTTACAACTATTCAGCCCTCTCTCTGGATAACCAAGACATTTCAAGATCAAATCAGCTTTCAAATATTTAATGAGAAAGCATCAGGCATATGATCTGCCACCTCATAGTACCTCAAGGCTGGCCATATTTT